ATATTTATATTTATATTTATATTTATATTTATATTTGTACCTATAATTATCTTTACACAACGTACAGCTTATTAAAAATAATGATTCAATCACATATTTGTGATCATTATTTTAATGTTTCAGTATTAATTAAGAAACTTTTACTGGTTTAGCAGTATCAGTTATGACTAATCTGCAGCAGAGAACGGTAACAGGAAATTTCCAGCAATACTGCTCATTTCTTGCTGCACTTGTTGTTGGCAGCTAATGTTTTTTAAAACACCCAAATATAAGTTTCAGAAACAGCAACGACAATTTTTTGGAACACATTGGTCAGTGTTTGTAACACCGCATCACATTTGTTGGGTTTTTCTGCATATTTGAAGAGAAGGCCAGAAAACGGGGAAGAAGAAAACGAGATAAATAGTGGAAAAAAAAGCAACAAAAAACTACTGTTCTGCTGTGAACAAAATTTACAACCATTGAAATTACACTGTTTTGTTCCATTTTCTATTCAGTTTTATTAGTAGCGCAGCATAAAGTAAATAGGTTTCAACTTTATTTTTTAACTAATTGCCCGACTACACCGCCTTAACTGTACAGCAAGAAATATGATCGACGAACAAAATGTTTCCCGTTCTCTTCTCTTTTTTTTTCCATTTTCCTTTATTCAGCAAAGGAAGGAGAGCGGAGGGGAGAAAGAAGGGGAGAGAGTTGACACATTTTTTTCGTTCTTTCCTTTTGTAGTTTGCCAACAATTAGCTAAAAAAGTTTTTGAGAATTCTTTTACAACCACTTTTTATAGCTTTGTTGCTACTAAAATTACTTTCTTTACTACTTTTGATCTGAAGGATCCCTATTGCGATATTTTAAACGCGAGGAGTTCTCACTTACTAATATTTTATTGAAGAGAGATGTTCTTAGACCGGATTTAGACAATACTTGAAATGGACTCGCTTACCTCCAGCGTTTGAAGACTTTATAGAAAGTTATAGAAATACAGAAATTGAGTAACACCAAACGTCACCGATTGATCGAATCTTTCAACAATGCTTTACCAAATTCTGTTCAGCATGCTTTGCACTTCCTTATATGTAGGTTCTCTAGCGCCTGAATCCAATTAGGATTGGTCAGACTCGTACGTTTTTTTTGCCGAACGTACCCTTTTGGAGATTGATTAAATCTCATCCGAGTGGCCAGCGCCAGCATATTGTACAGTACGAACCTTTCGTTTTAAGCTGCGCCTCCCTGACGGATGCAACTCCTAAGCCCTGCTTCTCGTGAAAGAAACTGTTACATGTATACAACATAACTGTTGCATGTGTGCAACACACTCCCGGGCGGCAAGTGAACACTTAGGGAGACCCGCTCAGGGCCTTATAGCAAAGCATGCAATTTACGTTTCAGTGACAGAGAAATTGGAGCTATCGTTGCAGTAGTAAGTAGTGTTGAAGAGCTGCTGACTGAAAGTGCAAGGTGACCGGTGCATAAGGTATTTGGAATTAAGTGCTGAAAGCTGGAGACCCAACAATGATAGGGAGTGGACAAATACAAACACATAAATAAGAGAGATCAGTTAGTGCATAAACACACACAATAACACAAAGGAAAAAAAGCTGGAACCCAAATAGGTAGAGTACAAAATGACGTGCTATCAATGTGCAGTAACAAAATCACGACTGTGAATATGTGTACTGAACATTCAGGGCCGATTAGCCATGGCGACGACGTCGTCCAGTTGGCTGAGGGGCTACGCAGATATACTTGGTCCGATTGGAAGGGCGGGTAGTCCGTCGGTTTCCCTGGCGGCGCTTGCCGACCCACCGTCTGAAGGTGCTGAGAGGTACCGTAATATCTGAAAAATAGGTGAGGTACCTCTCCCAGATGGGACCAGATCCCAAAACGTCCTCATCGCCAATGATAACCTTCCCTTGCTTGGCTCGAGATAACGCGACTGTAGTCTTCTGCTCATCTAAAATAAAACTATGAAGTTCTCGGCCATGCTGCGCAGTGGCCATGGTCCTTGTCGTCATGAGGATTACGAAGTCCGCCTTGCGTCCCTAGAATCTGCTAACTAAAAACGCCTCAATTGCTTCATCGACCACCTTTATGTCTTCGACATTTGCAGCGTAGTAGCTTAACACTATTACGGAACTAAAAGGGCAACATTCTTTTATATAGAAGTAAGTTTGACATCGATATCAATCTGGTTTTCGTTGAGCCAGCTTCTCGTCTCAGATCGCTTTTTGGTTCTACTAACCTGCAAAAATAAGAGAGGTATTGTTTGGTGCTGGCCTGGAAAGTTTAGTCTTGCCCATTGGTTGAATCCTGGCCGGTCAGGTTATCATTTAATACTTCCTCCATACGCAGCTGCTGACGAAACCTCAACTAGTTTTGGGTGGCTCCGGTAGTTTACTGACAAATTTAGCTGCCAAATTCGTGTATCATGTGTTAATTGGTGCACTACGCCACGGTGACCGTAAGGTATAACACTCGTAGGCAACCGTCCAGTGTATGCCGGAAGCTGACGGCTGTCACTCGTTATGAAAATCTGCTTGATTTGAAACATGCAGGCTATTAAGGTCATCAAGTTGACCTTCAGTATAAGCCCTCCTTTGTCCACTATTAGGTATTGAAATCGATTTGCATCGTGATTGCGTTCCCATTGCATTAGGAACACAGAAACCACCGTGTATGTGCCAAAGACCAATCTCGGAGTTGTGATTCTTGAGCGTAAATCCAGAGCCTTTCTTTCCTTGAACCTCTGCCCGTCAGGCAAGGCTCTCTTTTTGATATTTTTTGTGGGTGAAGTGCACTTGGCTTCCTCAACCTCCTTGTCCTGAAAAGCCTTTAACGTGTCTGCTCCCCGGTAATTTTGCATTCTCTCATTCCGCTTTCCTGGATAGTTCCGATCTGCCAATCGTGATTGCATTACTAAGATTTCCCCGGATGAATTTCTCCCTTAATGACTCTACAAAGCTTTCTAACGATATTCTGGACAGCCAAGTTGGTGGGTGCAGTGACAAGGCCAATCGCCACGTGGTCTGTGGAAGTGAAGTGCTTTAGGAGGGTTGAAAGATATAATGCGATAGTGTGGGTTTTTCCAGTTCCTGCAGGAGCCTGGGCGAAAATTACCTGATTGCTTTGGTCCTTAAGATGTTCTAAGACCTTAGCCTGCTGAAGATTAGTATTAGAGCCCTCTCTAGTGGTAAGGTTCCTTGGTTCCCCGAGTCCTTATCGTTCGCGCTCTCTAGATGGCACAAAAACCTCAAGACTCTTCGACGCCTGGGGCACTCCTCATCCGTTAGGCTCCTGCTCAGCCTTTTCTCTTTCAGCATTCGCTCCGTAAATTCGTATCCTGTATTATCCGGGTTGGGATATAACAGTAATCCTTCATGGCTCTTCCCGTACGCTATCTCTGGTGCGTGGTATATCATCAGGTCTGTCTCATTATGCTTCAAAATTACCTCAAGATACATGTTCCTCATCTCGTCTATGTACAGCTTGGAGATGTTCGCTGTGCCGCTTCTTCAGTGCCGCTTCTTCCGTATTCTGAGTTGGTCCTCTTGGTCTCCATCCGTAATTGTACGTCTGGTTCCCAGTGGCGTCTCAGTTTTGCATATACCTCCCTCTCCAAATGCTCCTCTTGTTTACCGTATTTATTGGTAAACCGAAGGGTTGCATCCCGCACATTTTCCTGTGAGCGTCGCACCGTTGAGTAAATGTCGTCTGGCCAATACGCTGTGCTGATGTAGGCGGAAGCTATCCTGTTCTTTGTAAATAGAACTGAAGTGTGGAGAAATTGTTCCATGGTTTCGTGTTTAGGAGCGTCGTCTGCGTCACTCAGTCCACCGAGGTGTTCGTTCCGAGAAATAGTAGGCCCCTTATATCCAACTATCCTTGAGAGATATCTACGTCCGAGTTCGACCTTCCTAACTCCCGTTGCTCGCTCGGCATAATCCTGGGTCAGGTAGTAGTCCACCTCTTGTTGTAGTAAACTTCAAATTCGAATTTCTCGACTAATAATTTGGAGACTTCCAATCCAACCAGGTCTCCTTTCTGGAGAATTGGCTCTATCTCAACATCGTTCCCTTTTATCCTCGCCGCTTGTCGTACACCTTCGGCTATTACTTCGACTCTCGACTGTTGCTGTTACCATGACGCTTCGACAAACGCCGGGATAGTTGATGTTCCGCGCTGGTACTTGGTCGCTAGGCGTGTCAGCCTGATCACTCTAGCGACAACATATTCTCTGATTCGTTTCCCCTCCAGCATTTGCCATTCTCGTACTGCTCCGTTGACCATCAGGGTCGCTAACTCTTGCACATCAAAGGTGTCAAAGAGATGGTAATGTTCATCTTTCTTCCAAAAAATCGCCACTATTATTGGCGCATCCTGCTCTCCGTGTTGGTTACTTTCATGGGCTAGATCTAGTACAAGCACATAGCATGGTGTTAGTGCTTGACACAAGAAACAGCAGGCGGGAGAGTGTAGCTGTTTTGGTTCTGTTCACTCCATCTCCGTTCGCACCTCCGCTCCTCTTTCCCGGTGTTTTGACGACCGTCGTTTAGGACCGCGTTTGGGAAGCGTGCTCGTCTAAAAATTGGTATCATGCACATTCGTCTGTTTTGTCACGCTTGAACAGATGAGATAAATATAGGGACAAGAGAAGAAAATTAAGATAGGTTTGGCATGCTGGGTTTGAGGATAAAAAGAAAACAGGAAGGAAAGGAAAAAGAAAAGAGGACAGATTATAAGGGTTAATTGAAATGTAAGAGAGCACTGTCATTACTTATCGGGTTTTACGATTTATCGATTTTTCCAGGGCGATTTCAACATACCAATTAAGTATACGCTTTGTTATCATCGTAACCATAATTATTATGATAATTATGTTACCAATTATTATTATTTTCCAGTTTCGAAATAGGTCGAATGGTACATGAGCGATCGTCCAGGTCCTATTCTCTTAAGTCTTACCAATAATGTTAGGGATATAAAGTAGAGTGGGAGTTTCTACAAAACCTAGCTGACCTTTGAGTTGACGAGCATTCTACAAAACAACTCTCCTGTATTACTGAATGAGTAAACGCCAATATGACTCCTTTCTGAGTAGGAGACTTCTCACAATTTATCGAGAACTGAACACTTTGACATGTGACATGTGCTAACGTGCCTCCAAAATCTGTAGTGCATTTGTAGGTAAGTTCCGCTACGGCTAGGCAGTTATAGCATCCTTCTAGAGAGAGAAACTCAACCCGGCATTCAGTTAGATCTTGCCTTAAAACTAGCCTTAGATTGTGAATATCAATTTAAATTTCTAAAGCTCTTGAATAGCCGATTTTTGCCTAAACTTCCTGACCTGCTTCTTCGATAGTTAACCCAGGTGCCGTAACCGGCAAAACAAATTCCGGAATCTTCATTACTTTTTTGAGACGGTGGCCATAGCATGTACACGACACACTCTCTCCTTCACTCACGCAGTGACACGTTTCGTGCGGTAACTGACATCGCATTGTTCAAGCGAGTTTCCTGCTAGCACACTGTAGAGCTCCTATAGTTTCTGCTAATTTTGACCCAGTGGGAGATGCTTCCAGCATGACAGTAGTCTTACCATCTAACAAAAAGTGTTTGTTTAATAGTGGTAATGGCGGAACATGAACGTAACTAAACCTAGTCTCAGTGCTCCTAACTTGACCATCCCAAACTCTCGTACGACTCTTTTCTCCTGAACTAACTCCTGTGATTTGTTTAACTGAATGCTTAGCGTCACCGATGGTGTCCATATGGGACAGGTAAAAATTTCATACACGTTGTCGCTCAGAGGCTTAGCATGAGTTTGATAGAAAAGACAAGCTGCTGAACAAAGAGAACGTCCGCAAGCTGCGCATCCACAAAACTCCTGGCAATATGTAAACCCTAAACTTTCATTAGGCTCCCTATTAAATTCTTTCAATTTGGAGTCGATTTTAACTCCCGCACATTTTTCTCCGGAGCAAGATCCTACCAATGAACATTTTTTTGATGAAACAGTACTCATCTTGAATGACCTCAAATAATATTCAACCTTCTTTTGACATACTAAATTAATCTTTTCTACTTCCAGGCTTAAAGTTCCTGCCGCTTCTCCTTTTGGCCCTTTTAATAGCAAACAAATTTTTTAACCCTGGGGGGTAACCGTTACCCTTACAGATTCACTAATAGTACAAGTCTGCTTCCCCGTTTTGTCCCGCACGGAATTTTCTGTATTAGCGCTAAACGATACTATTTTTGAACAACTCATCGCTATACCTGGTGACGAGACTAGTATTATCAGAACAACAATGCGTGACGCTTGTCTCCAGTTATACTTGAAACGCCTTTTGGGTTTCATTTGATTCGTAGGTACTGGCATTTCAATATTTCGGCTACTCCTACAGACTCGGCCTACTACCTTGCAAACAATCCAGAAGATAATTATCAATAACCTCCGCAGGCAAATTAGAAGCATTATGACTATTTTCAGCAAGAAATAAAGACAGGCAATACCGCAACATAGGGTCACTACTATAATGAGAGTTTCAAAAGGTGATGCACACTGAGGATTGAGAAGAGCCTCTTTGCAGATATGACAACAGATAAGTTCACAAAGAGGATTAGCAGAACATTCTAGGTTTATTTGCTTACTTTCTTTTCCCTCTTGCCAGAAAGTAACAACTGGCGAATATCTCTTTACAACTATTTCATGAGGTAGGCTTATTGCTTGATGGAAAGACAATTCTTTTTTTATTAACACAATATGGATGGAAGCAGATTTCTGTCAGGAGCACCTTTTCTGTTAATCTAATCATTACTCCACCTTTGGCGCAACTTGCACTGCAAGACCTACAACCTAACCTTTTTTCTTCCTCTCCTTTATATGCATAAAACGAAACATTAAGCTTTCTCCTGGCTTAGATAGCCACCCTGTTATCGTTTTCTACATAATAAACCCTTTCCTTTTTATTATAGAAGCAAAATTTTGTTCCGTTTTTCTGGCACTCGTTGTCCTTACAGTATGCGCTGCCTGTCGGTAGCCCTTCACCTACACACTCAGGGTGTGACTCTAACTCTTAGGTATGCCACGAATGTGAGGATTCTACCAAGAGTTTTTTCCCACCTAATAACTCTATTTGATAGTATTTTCTTAGCTCCTGAACACCTGAACATTTTGAACTTGGTTGCGTATTACAAATCTCACTTGGTAGTGTTATCCATGCCAATTCTTCAAGCGTCTCCGTGTTCGTGTCGTTCGCTTCCCGATCACCGATGCAACCTAATACTCAATCATCACACTTTCACCTTTCTCCACAACCACCGTTTCTCACGTGCTTATTTCTGCATTCCAACATGTGCCAAAAATAATTATCCAACACGTCCTTCATAACAACAATACTAGATGAGACACAATTTTGAGACGTTATATGAGTTAGATTATCCTTGAAATCGCATCTAGGTGACACTTGCCTGGTGACAAGAGTTAAAGACATCAATAATCCGCATACAACTAATGCCAGATGGCCTGCCATAGTCTTAGGTGTTGTCCCGACATCCTGTTCTTTACTTGCTTTCTCATTTCTTACAACAAGTGTGTTGCTTACTGATTCCACCTTATCCTCTCTCTTATGTTCTTTTTTAGGAACTTTAAAAGTGTACAAATGATTTATGGACCTCTCTACTTGTTTTTGGTGTGGCATCTTAACTGCTGCCGTTCTTACTTCAGCATCAAAGTCTTTATTTAATTTTACAATTTTTCCCATTTTCCAAAAGGGCCTCTTAGCTTGTTCATCGTGTACCAACACGGTCTCTCAAACCTGAGGAAGATTCTCACCAAGATGTTGTTTTGTATGACTATGCTTATCCCTTAGACTTTGTAGGTATTCATTTTCCCAAATGCGCAAAAATTTGTCCACTATTCTGCCTGTCTTTTGATAGTTTACAAGCATACTATCCGATGGTGGAAGGTAAGTAGGATCGTTTCCGTCGTCCGTAAACGCTGGCAAAAAGGATTCTTTATTTAGTAATTGAAAATCGATTGGCCTAAGCACTAGAGACTGTGAGTCATTATACAAAAATGTCAGCGGTCTGGTGTTGACAATAGCCTCGGCCTCGCAGATCAATGTACTATACGCCTCTAACGTTAATATCCTACGCCCAATGGTTTCATTAATTGATCCTTTGACCACGCCTACCAATCGTTCATAATACCCTCCTCTCAATGGAGCTAAGGAGGTTATAGAATGCCATTGGATGTGATGCTTACTTATCCATTCCTGCCAACTTTCTTCCTTTGCTAACTTTTCCCATAAGGTGTCAACTAAGCGACTGGCTCCCTTAAACGTAGTCCCGTTATCTGAACAAATCACTACTGGTAATCCTCTACGTGACACAAATCTTTTAAAACAATTTAAAAAGCATTCTGTTGACAAGTCGGAAATTACTTCAAGTGTACTGCTGTAGTAGTTAAACACGTAAACAGTAAAACCCAAACTTTCACTTTTTTATCGTCTAGCTTTATGACTGATGGTCCAAAGTATTCTAAGCCACAAAACTTGAACGGTTCTGACCTACTCATTCTGAATGATGGTAATGGTGGAAACTTTTGCTAAGGTTATTTGGGTAGATGCATGCAACAAAATCTCATGGACTTCTTCAACGATTAGTTTAGTAGTAGGAAGAAGCGTTAGTTCTCGACCTGGTCTTTTGCTAAGATTCCTGAACCTTCCAATACATCATAATATTCCGTCTCGGTTGACGATACTTAGCCTACCCATAAACTCTTTTGTCTTTTTGTCCTGATGATCCCCGAAACAGTCGCCAAAATGAACTCTTTGACTTTGCGCTACTATAATATGCGTCGCTCTAGTCATCCCATTGGCAGTAATAAGTCCTACGCGTTCCACATTTTAACATGTCAAATAAGCTGCGATGCTCCCCTGTATCTAGCTCACGACTAATCTCTTTAATAAAACGTAAGCAATAGCTAACTACTCTTTTTAATTTAGCCCAACTTGAAAACCTGTCCGCTTGCACCATAGTACGCGCATCAACAATGGGATGGGATGAACCTGTACTTATGTTAACCACTGTCTCCTCCCAAGTTATAGCCTTTCCAAACTCAACTTCTGTACTTTTTAACCATGGAGGACATTCCCACCAGATTCTATTTCCCCTTAATTGCGCTAGACTACACCCCCAAGTAAGTATTACCGCAGGGTTCTCCTTCCCTGAGCCGCAGGGTTCTCATTCCCTGAGATGTGATAAAATTCAATGTGAGAGAATTTTCTAATTTCGTCAACCCTGCTTTCTACAAACTTGGGTAACAATTTAGAGCTAGCTATTCAATCTCGGGCTCATTTAGAATCTGTCCATAGTATTGTCTCTTGCACTGTCAGCTCGCACTCAGACCTTGCAAATTCTAGGGCCTTAACGCCTATCCACACTGCTAGAAGCTCCAGTCTTGGAATGGTTACTTCTTTATAAGGTTTCAGTCTAGACTTAAAAAAATATTCAGAAGGACTTCCACTCACCTTTCTCACAGAACCTTACATATACCGCTACAGCATAACAAATAGCCGAAGCATCAGTAAACGCGTGCATCTGTATCTTCGTTGCGTCCGAA